GGAGAAACATCAATGACGATTGGCTGCTTTTCTCACGACTCCTACTGGGGCTGGGGAACAAACCTGCGACCCAGGCATGTGCCCTTGGCTGGGAATTGAACCCAGGACCATTTGATGAATGGGGCAACGCTCTAACTGCTAAACCAAACCAGCCAGGGCTACAATGATGTAATTCAGATCACACTGTCCCATGCCATGAAGATCATCTATGCTAAGAAATGACATTTGGGATAGTTGTCTTTAAAGGACTTGTGTAGCATTTGTTTTGGTACCATTTGATCAGGCCATTTTAATAGTTGGGGCTGGGAGTAGTGATAGTGAAATTTTTGTGCAGGTTTTTAAAAACTATTGTCTTTCTTTAGCCTTGGAAAACTATGAAATATGAAGGCCTTTTTTTAAAAAAAAACTTTTTTTTTTTCTTTATTGATTTTAGAGAGAAAGGAAGGGAGAGGAAGAGAGGATAGAAACATCGATGAGAGAGAACATCGACTGGCCGCCTCCTGCATGCCCCCCACTGGGGATCAGGCCCACAACATGGGCATGTGCCCTGACTGGGATTGAACCGGCAACCTCCTGGTGCAGGGTCAGTGCTCAACCACTGAGCCACACTGGCCGGGCTCTCTTTTTTTTTTTTTTTTTGCATTTATCTTCAGACAGTGGGAGGGAGGGAGAGAGAGACATTGACTGGTTGCCACCTGCACGACCCCAACTGGGGACGGGGACGAACCCCAAGGCACATGCCCTTAGTGGGAACCGAACCTGGGACTCTGGTCCGCAGGTGGACACTAACCGCTGAGCCAAACCGGCCAGGGCAAGGCCTCAATTTTGTATAGTAAACTTTTTGTATTCTAGTTTTTAAAAGGGCATTTGTGGTGAGGTCGAGTATGGCCAATATCCTGGGCATACTCATGGAAAGTGTGAGTAAGTGAGTGTGTGTGTGTGTGTGTGTGTGTGTGTACATACACGCACACTAGCCGTTACAAGTTTTTGTTGTTTGTTTTTTCTTGATTTTAGAGGGAGAGAGAGAGAGAAACATCAATGAAAGAGAACATCGATTGGCCACCTCCTGTGTACCCCGCACTGGGGAATAGGCCCACAACCTGGGCATGTGCCCTGACCAGGAATTGAACCTGCAGTCTCTTGGTACATGGCTCGACGCTTAACCACTGAGCCACACCAGCCAGGCACAAGTTTGTTTGTTTTTGGTAAATCAATTGGTGTATAAATGAGTATATATTTGTAAAACCCTACAGTATGGAACGTATTTAATTCCAACAAATTCTTGGAAGCAGTAATTTTAGATCAAAGTGTGCTTTCCTGGAGGTTTGATGTATACTGGGATAGAATGTTGTCTAATGAATTAACAGCTTGGGCTTTCCACTTATTCAGGCTGGAGTGGGGGGTGGGGTTATTCCCTGTTCTGTGTGATAATAAATCTTGACAGTATCCGTATCCACCTCTTGGGTGAAATGAGGGAAAATAAAGGAAGTATTTTGCAAGTTTCCTGCATACATCTGTCCAAATGGGAAATGTGGGGGAACTAGACAGTGTAAACTGCTTTCTTGTGGTGGTGCTGGGACCTGAGCTGACAAGATTAATGACAGTTGATCCTTTTATACTTTTTAGTACATCCAGCGGTGGTAATTCGACAACGAAAGTCATACCGGAGAAAAGATGGTGTGTTTCTTTATTTTGAAGATAATGCAGGGGTCATAGTAAACAATAAAGGCGAGATGAAAGGTAAAGTGTCCACATTGTTCCTTAGATCTTGGATTATTTAATTCTTGGGGCTAGGAGTAAAAGCAAAGACGGGACCCTCTAATCTTATTTGACACCTCATTCTCTTATGCAGGTTCTGCCATCACAGGACCAGTTGCAAAGGAGTGTGCAGATTTGTGGCCCAGGATTGCATCAAATGCTGGCAGTATTGCATGATTCACCAGTGCATTTGTAAAGAAAAAAGCCCATTAAAAAATATTTCCTCCCAATGCTTGCCTTTCTATTTGTTTCTACATGTCACTCTTTTTTTTTTTTTTTAACCCTCACTCAGTGTTTTTCTATTTATCTTCAGAGAGGGTGGGGGAGAGAGAAACATTGACTGGTTGCCTCCCACAGAACCCCAACCAGGGACAAATCACAACCGAGGTACATGCCCTTGACTGGACTTGAACCCCATGGCTCATTGGTCCGCAGGCTGCTGCTCTAATTGCTGAGCCAAACCGGCCAGGCCTTTACATACCAGTCTCGACACTACCTAACCCTTCCTTTGTAGGATACGAACTACTCTGTAAATTCTGTGAGCATATGTGAAAAAATAAAAACAGTCCTTGCACTTTCGTGAGAATTTTTGAAACTTCTCAATTTCTGCTATAAAGACTAGATATTTGGGTTTGGAGTCTGTAAATAAATAAAAGCAGTACTTTGATGGCAGGATACCCCATATAGTTGCTGTGTAGTTGGGTATTTAAGATAGAGTGCTCAGATCCTAGACATGCTTGTGGAGTCCAAGGAGTGATGTCAGCAGGAACCAGGTACACACAGTGTATATGCACACTTTTGCATTTACAGGTTTTCTTTGGGAGAAATTTGCACATAAATGAGTATATTTGTAAAGCCTAACACATGGTAAATACCATGTAGATTAATTCTTTTTTTTTTTTTTCTCACCCAAGGACATTTTTCGATATTCTGTTCAGAGAGAGGGAGAAAAACAGACGTGAATGGGACACATCGAGTTGTCGCCACCTGCACGGCTTAAAACAGGGCTGGGGACAAACTGCAACCGAGGTACATGCCCTTAGAGGGAACCGAACCCAGGTCTCGACCACAGGCCAACGCTCCAACCGCTGAGCCAAACCAGCCAGGGCTGTATTCTTGTGGAAGATGATTTAGATTACTTACTCAGGGTCTCAGAAAAGAGCGCTCAGCTGGTTTTGGATCAATGTCTCAGCCTAAAGGTGTTAGAGTAGGTTTTTTATACTAAAGTTTTTGTTCATATATCTAGTATCTGAAAATACTCTGCCTTGTATCTGTAAGTTGGGTATAATGCAAGGCTGAAGCTTAAGAGTACATGAAGACCCTACCTAGCACGTAGTCATTTGGTGAGATGACTGCCTTTTGTCTAAGATGAGGAATGGAATGTACCAGTAGAGAGCAGACCAATGAAGTCAGACTGGAGGTAGGACTACATAACATTGGTACTTTTTAAAGCTGCCCAAATTTCCAACGTGCAGCCAAGATTAAGAATCGGTGCTCCGGCCCTGGCCAGATTGGCTCAGCGGGTAGAGTGTCGGCCTGTGGTCTAGTGAGACCTGGGTTCAATTTCCGCTAGGGGCATGTACCTCGGTTGCAGTTTGTCCCTGGCCCTGGTTGGGTTTTTCGGGTGGCAACCACTCGTGTCTCTTTCACATCGATATTTCTTTTCCTCTCCCTCCCACTCTATCTGAACAAAAAATGAAAAAATGTCCTCAGGTGAGGATTAAAAAAAAAAAATTGGAGCTCTGTTTAGGTTTTAGGAATATTAGAGAACTGAAGTCTCAAACAGACTTGGCTCCTCCGCTACTGCATCCCCCAGCCTGGCAAATTTCAAATCTATTGTAACTCGAAGCTCTCAGATCCTCTATTGAATGTCTCCTTTTATCCCATTGTGTAATACACACACACATACATATATATAAAATGATCCGCCTCTGCATCCAGTGTGAGGGCTGGGCCTGTCGTTTTCCCACTTGTCCTCTTGTGTCCATGTTCTTTCCAGGTTCTTTTGAAGGTGAATAGAATAGACTCAAACTATAGACTTATTTCCTATCATTTCAGATGTGACTTGCAGGTGCTCTCCTGTCATAGTGTAGAAAGATTGAATATGTTAAGTATTGAAATTGCCAGGAGGAGTGATTTTTTTTTTTTTATCTTTATTGATTTTAGAGAGGAAGGGAGAGGGAGAGAGAAACATCAATGAGAGAGAACATCGACTGGCTGCCTCTTGCACGCCCTCCACTGGGGATTAGGCCCACAACCCCAGCATGTGCCCTGACTGGGAATTGAACCAATGACCTCTTGGTGCATGGGTGGACACTCAACCACTGAGCCACACTGGCTGGGCAGGAGTAGTGATTTTTGTGTGTAGGTATAATGCAACCTTTTTCTAAGTGACACATGTGCCTTCATGTAAAAATATGAAGGGTGAATAAAAGAAGCCCTCCTTGAGCCTGTAAAATGAGGATAACAGCACCTCAGAGCTGGTGTGAGCTGTCTGCATAGGTGCTTTAATACATAAGTATTTATGTAAGGGTTTGATCCATGGAAAATTTTGGGAAGTAAAAAGTATAAAGAAGGGAATAATTAAAACCATTGTTCACATTTTGTGTCCTATCTATATATACATAAATTTAGCCACAAAAGTATGGTAACATGTCAACCTACTGTTTGGTGGATGGGGGCAGTTGCTAGCTGAGAAAAAATTGGGAGGGGAGGATGGAAGTCCTTCAAGTGGACTTAACTGGAAGTTAGGAGACCTGAATTCTGGTTCTGGGTCTGCCACTAAATGGATTTAGGGAATATTCCAACGTTTTTGAGCTTCAACTGCCAGTTCTGTAAAATGAGAGTCAGAAGTAGATGCTATCTAAAACTCTATCTGATCCATTTTCAACAGAACTGAGTTGGTAAAATGTATATGATGGGAACAGAGAACCTTGCTCTGAAAAAAACAAAAAAACAAAAACGGGGAAGCTGGGCCCGACTGCACTCACGAGACCCACATTCAGTAATGCCCTCTTCTCCCCTTCAGTCTCATTCCTCGTGCATGGTCTAGTCATCCCTTACCTCTGGGCCATGCAAGCAACTTCCCCCACAGCCTTAAGAGCCTACCCCATTGGATGGGGACAGTAGGGTTTGTGTCGCAGGCGTCAGGGGTCTTGACACCACGTAACAATGCGCAGGGGAGCCCCGCCTAGGGCCCACCGCTCCCACCGGCGAGGCCCGTAGAGGCTGCGGCGGTAGGGATGGTGCACTTGCGCGAGTGTCCCCTGCGGTTGGAGAAGAGCTTCATCTTGGATGGTGTGGCGGTGAGCACCATTGCCAGCACCTATGAACGCTTGAAGCCCAAGCTCTGGTCCGCGATTCCGCCTTACAATGCGCAGCAGGACTACCACACCCGGCGGTATTTCAGGAGCCAGGCGGTTCCGCCCATTCTGCAGAAAACTGATCAGGTATAGGAGCGCCCCAAACCACCCCACTGTCTGCCTGCAGAGGTTGGCCCTGGTGGCGGGCTGACTGCCCAAATCCTGGCGTCTCACTGGAGCACCCTCACCACCAGTGAGGCTTCCCCAAAACCACCCCCTCAATTTTCTTAATGAATGCGGAACCGGCTGAGGTGGGCCACCGGTGTTGAGCATGAGCTCACTGGGCTCATAGAGTCACCTTCCACCCCTGGACTTGAGAATGATATCATTTTGGGCTTCTGCAAACCTAGGAAACTGCGCTCAAAGTCCGCCTCTCCCAAACCATTGTCCTTTTTGACGTCATAGACCCGCCCTTTGTGGTGACCTCATGCTGCAAATCCTCTAAAAGCATGAAAATCCATGTGATCTCAGTGAACTAGACAAAGAACTGTCTAGACCCAACAAGAGCCACGCCCTCTGTCTGGTGACTTCATAGTTGTAGAGGGGCTCACTCGCAGGGACCTGTGAGCTCAAACCTCCCAAACCTCCAGGACCTCCCTTCTCCCAGGCCTTTTCCTCAGGGGTGTTGCCCTCTCCTGCAGACTACTTCCCTGGGATCAGATTCTGAGGCTAATTACTAATGGTTCCAATTTTTTTTCACCACTTTTGTCCCCAATATATGTGCCTATATATGTTACAGTGATATGAATACCACTTAGTGGGGGTTATTCTATGAACAAATCTAGGGTTTTTGGTGATCCCAGATGATTGTGTGTATGTGTGCATGTTTAGTACATGTTTGCTCATGTAACTTTTATGACAGGAGGCGGAGTTGGGGGGGTAAAAACAGAAAAACAAATATTTAAAAGCTTGAAAAGAGCCCAGCCAGTGTGGCTCAGTGGTTGAGCATGGACTCATGCACCAAATGGTTGCTTGTTTGATTCCTGGTCAGGGCACATGCCCAGGTTGTGGGCCTGATCCCCAGGCGGGGGGCATGCAGGAGGTGGCCAACTGAAGCTTGAAAAGAATATGGTGTACACACTTCTGAAACTTTCTGTGTTCCATTTTGTATTTGTCACAACTACCATTTGTGGTAGGTATAATTTTCATTTAAATGAAGATAATGCTTATTGAACCTTTACTATGCCAGGCCTTTTATTTTAACTATCTCACTTAAATCTCACAGCAACCCTCCTTTTATTGATGAGGAAATTGAGGTCCAGAAAATATGTGTCATTGGCTTAGGTCACACAGCTTGTTAGTGGCAGAGCTGGAAACTGTCTGGCAGCCGATACTGAGCCCTAAGTACCAAGCTACACAGTCTCTCCCTGAGAGGCAATATCGGTTTTAAGTATATTTAATCTGTCTGGCCCTGTTACCCCTCGCTGTGACCTCTGCCCCCTCCCAACAAGCCTCAGGGGAGTTTGGGCTGTGCGTCTCCCAGCATGGCGGCTGACACTCTTCTGTATTCTCTCCCTCACTCAGGATCATGGAGGTACAGGAAGGGACGGCTGGATAGTGGATTATTTTCACATCTTCGGGCAAGGACAGAGATACCTCAACAGGAGAAACTGGGCAGGGGCAGGCAAGTGCCACCTTGCTCTCAACTTCCTCATGGCCCCATCTAGGAAGAGGGGTGCACCCACAGTTCAGAGACAGAAACTGGGTGGTAGAGAGACATGGTTGGAACGAAGAGGGCCGGGACTACATCCTCCTGCTTTTCCTCTTATACATGAGCAGATGATGTCACAGTACTCCCTATATTTAGTTATTGAGCACCTACTGTACGTCAGTCAGGTGCTTTTTACCCTCACACCACCCCCATGTTACAGCCTGGGAAACTGAGACTTAGGGAGTTCAAGTGATTTGCTGAGAAGGGCTGAGCTGGGATTGGAATTCCACTTTTTCTAACTCTGAAGACTGTATTCCTTTCATTGCTTCTGAGCAGGCTGTGTCCTACTCATTTTACAGGCACAATTAAGCAGCAACAGGAAAGGGAGAGTTGAGAGATGGTTTCCTGACAGGGCAAACTCTCCTCCCACCCCAATTCCACCCCCCTTTGGACACACTCTAGTAGCATAACCCTTTGTACCATTTGGCCAAACTTGTCCATTGGTTCCAGATGGGTCAGAGGCAAGGATGGTATTTTCTTAGTTCTCCTAGGAGCAAGGCAAGTTCGGCCAAGCCCAGAAATTTCTGACCCTCCTGTACCATTCACACTCCTCCTGCACACTATGCGGCTGGGTTCTAGGAAGCCATCTGTCTCCTTGACTTCACCAATTCTTGGCTTTTCAGTAAAGAGGCTTGAGATATTTAAGCATTGATTCAAAAAGACTTGGGGAGCACAGAGACTGTAGCTGGGTTTGTATCCTAATATCAGCCCTGTGGAAGTGGAGAAAGTGAGAGGAAACTGAATGCAAGCTCACACCTCTCTCTCTCCATCCCCAAGGGCATTCCCTCCAGCAGGTGACTGGGCATGACCACTACAATGCCAATTTGAAAACGAACATGGGGTTCAATGGTCGGTTTGGCTATCGCAGGAACACCCCAGCCCTCCGCCAGCGCTCATCTGTCTTTGGAGAGGTCACCCGATTCCCTCTTTTCTAACAGCAGCTTTTCCTTTCACACCCTCGAACTGAATGTCTGACAGATGTTTAGATGAACTCCCAATGTTATATAAAAATTCTTTCCATTTGTGCCTCTAAGTGTGCTGTTTCTTTCCTGAGGTGGTGGTAGGGGTGGGTGGGGCTAGTTTCTCCACTTTCATCTTCTCTTCCCAAAGGAGAGGAGCTGGGAGGAGAAAGTGCATTTCCAGCTTGTACCCTTACACTCCATGCCAATGAGTGCCAGGCTTTGAGAGGCCTCGGCTTTCCCTTGCCCGTATGATAAGGAGGAGCCACACTACCTAACCCTCCACAAAGCTCTTCCCCAGGCATCAGCAGGGCCAGGTCAGAAGTTGGCTACTGTTGCCATCAAGACCGGAGCAAGCAGTGTGGCCACAAGGATTAGCTGTTAGTTGCCCTAAAAAGGATTTCCTGATTTTCTTGAGAATCATCTCATCCAAAAGAACTGACATTTTCCTTCTCCTTTCCACTTTCAATCCATCAAGAGGCAGGGCATGAACAAGGTGATATCTGGGGTGCTTTTTGAACCTAGGAGTTCTGACATAGTACTATTGTGCTTCTGGACACTTTCGCTACAAATACTATGTCTGTTTCCCTTTCAGCTAGTTTCCAGGCCATTTTTTCAAGTGTCCCAACCCAGTATGTTGGTGGCCAGGAGAAAAGCCAAAGCAGATGATGGATACAAAAGAAGGTGGGTGGGGCTTTAGAATACAAAGCTTGCCAGTACTCTAGTGTGGGTGGAACCTGATTATATTGAGTCACCACAAGTGGACAAGAAGGACAAACAAAGTAGGTCAGGGGGTATAGCTCAGGGGTAGAGCATTTGACTGCAGATCAAGAGGTCCCCGGTTCAAATCCGGGTGCCCCCTTCCTATTACTTTTTTACTTAGTACATAAAATACCTCTTGACTCCCAGTCGCAAAGTTACTAGAGAAGACAAGGAATTCTCAACTCTTGTCCTGAAATACTAGTTCCTCCTACATTCCAAATGACCAGTCAGGAGAGACCTGTGAAATATCTCTTGAGATTCAATTAAGACATAGTATATCACCCCAATAAATTCAACAAAAAAGTTTTTAAAAAACACAAAGTTCCCTATAAAATTCTAAATCTAAGATTAAGTCAGATCTTAATTTGAACACATTTAGCAATCTGATGTCTGATAGTAAAGATGAAGGTGTTCACACAACATGTATTTTTTTTTTATCCTCACCCGAGGACATTTTTTTCCATTTTTTTGTTCAGATAGAGTGGGAGGGAGAAAGAGGAAGAGAGAGAGAGAGAGAAACATCGACGTGAAAGGGACACATTGAGTGGCTGCTACCCACATGACCAACCAGGGCCGGGCACAAACTGCAACCGAGGTACATGCCCTTAGCGGGAACCGAACCCGGGTCTCTCTGGACCGCAGGCCGACGCTCTAACTGCTGAACCAAACCGGCCAGGGCCACAACGTGTATTTTTGAGAGCTTAGTACATGCAAGGCTATAGTGAATTAGAAGATGAAAAAGCATCCCTGTCCCCAGGGAGCTTTCGGTCTAGTGAAAGTTGACACATTCACACACAGCTGTCAGAGGAAGAGTGTTTGTACCTCAAGAAAGAGTTATCTTTTGAAACTTTCTAGACAATATTTAAAACTGAAGCTTTTCTACAGTTTGAAGGGATATTTCTGCCTGATCTGAAGAGTGTTATTAACCTGTTGCTTGTGTCACTGCATAATCCTCCCTTCAGGGTTAGGGGCACTTTCTTCTTAGTTTTGAAATGGAACAGACCACTCTGGCCACTTAAAGCAGAAAAGGAGTCTACTGGAGGGATGGTGGAGACTTACAGAGTTGAGGGAAAGTGGGAGAACCTAACTCAAATAGCAGTTAACTATGAGGGGCTGCCAAGCAGGGAAATCCAGCTCAGGTCTCCACCCTGGAAGTGTCCACTGTTGGTGCTGCCAACCCTGGGCTCTTGTCACTGCATCATGGATATTATTCCAGGTGCACTTTCATCTTCAGGACAATTCCTCGAGTTAAAAAAGTGCCAAGCGGGATCATTTGATTGGCTGAGCTGCGGTCTGACACGTGTGTTGATTTACCAGGTAGAGGAGGAGGGAGTATTGCCTCAACCGTGTTTGACAACGCGAGGAACTCCCCCAGAATTGCAGGAGTGTTTGAGTGCAAAAACAAATATACCACCACCACACCTTTTCTTCCTTGAAGAAACAATTGTAAGGAGGAAGTGTGATAATTTATTGGTTTCCAGTTCTAGCAGTCAAGGATTTGCATTCTTACACTCCTTTTGTTAAAATTTCCCATTTGCTAAAATTAGATCAAAATTTTGTATTAAATCAATTATGTTTACATTGTCATGAGCATATAAATACTATTTACTACTGAGTCAATCTATAGGTACTCTGATAGTATTTCCTTCCTTGACAATTTTTTTCTTAAAGATAATTACTTCATTTTTGATTTGCATATTTTTCTTTGTGCCTGTTGACAATTATTTTCAGATTCTTCAACAGCCTGACAGTACAATTACTCACATGGTCCAAACCGGTCAAACTAATTAAAAAAAAAACAAAAAACTTTATTATTGAAAGTATTACAGCTGTCCCTCCTTTTCCCCCCATTGACACCCTCCTCCCCACTCCTGGCCCCCCAAACTGATTTTTTCAAGGCAGTCTTCTGACACCTTCCATCCTTCTGCTTTAGGATGTTTAGACCAACCACCCAAGCTGGTGCCTTGGGAATTCCCATTCCTTCTCCTTTGTGTTGGATTCTGTTTCCTGGACATTGTCCTTCTTTTTATTGGTTTCCTCCTTTCTGTGATAGAAAATAACCCCCAGGAGCTTCTTGAGAAAGAATACAGGGAAGGCAAAATGTTTGAGTCCTTGCATATCTGAAAATATCTTTATTTTCCCTGAATGCTTGAGAAAATAATTCTTTTTTTTTTTTTAGTTTATTTGTGGTGGTGGTGGTGAGAAAATAATTCTTAAAAACGTTTTTTTTTCTTTATTGATTTCAGAGGGAGAGAGGGAGAGGGATAGACAGAAACATCAGTGAAAGAGAACATCAATTGGCTGCCTCCTGCATGGCCCCCACTGGCAACCCAGCCCACAACCTGGGCATGTGCCCTGCTGGGGAATTGAACCGGTGACCTTTTGGTGCATGGGTCGATGGTCAACCACTGAGCCACACCAGATGGGCTGGGAAAATAATTCATGAAACTTTTTTTTGCAGAGGTTTGCAAATCTTCACTGTCTTCTAGATTCTCTTGATAAGCTTGACGTCATTCTTTTTTTTTTTTTTTGATCCTCACCAGAGGACTTTTTCTCCATTTTTGTTCAGATAGCATGGGAGAGAGAGAGCAGATGAGAGAGAGAGAGAAACATCGACGTGAAAGGGACACATCGAGAGGCTGCCTCCCACAGGACCCCAACTAGGGCTAGGGACGGATCGCAACTGAGGTACATGCTCTTGGCTGGAATCGAACACACGACTCATTGGTCTGCGGGCCGATGCTCTAACCACTGAGCAAAACTGGCCAGGGCTTGATGTCATTCTTATTCCCATATGTGACCTGTTTCTCTCTGTAAAATCTTAGGATTTTTGTTCTTGATGTTCTGTAGTTTTTCAATGATGTACTTGGTGATTCTTTCCATTTAGAGATTTTTGTCCTATCTTAAGTGTTATTAATTCTTCTCCATCATTTGAGTTGGAATTCCTTAGGAGTGACTACTTTGGTGTGCTTGCTCTCTTTTTTCAGTGGTCAAGAAAGAATTTTCTTGGATTTTTGCATTCATTTATTCACTTATTTGTTCCTAGTAGCCATAATACAAAATGCCCACTACATGCTAGGCATACACTGGATGCTCCATATAAGATGGCAGTTGTTGACTGAGCAGTAGACATAATTCTATCAATACACACATTTGGTCAAATAAAAGCTGTCTTCAGTTTTCTGTCTTTTTTGTGGTGTCTGTTTTGACAGACACATGCCAGGACAGCTGCTTTTAACACACCTAGCCACCTCCACAGTTTTACCCTAGTAATTAAAAGGCCACCATTTTAATTTTGAGAAAGGTCGGCTGAAACTTACAAGTTATCTAGGAAAATTAAACTTTGAAGTGTGGAAGAGAGACTTGCTCTTCTAATTTCCCTTCTTTATGCTCTCATGGAGCCCCAATATTCAGAAGTTAAGAATAGGTCACAAATGAACCAGGTATGTCTCAACAGACAGGTGGGGGTCAGAACTCTGAGGAGTATTTCACCACCAGGCAGTTAGCCCCCGTTTCAATTCAGTGTTTTTCCCCAGATATTTCCCTAAGAAATTACTTAAACTTAAAATTACTAAGAGGCTTGTTTCTAGTTAATGTACAAAATTGATATCTGAAATGCTTTCATGCCCCTTCCTTTGCCACTTAATACGAATTGCTTAAATAGATGGAGCCTATGCCACACTCCAGTGCAGTACTGCAGGTTCACAGTTTGTTCCTCAGATTGCCCAAATGTGGGATGGGTACCACACGTACATGCAGTTTGACAACAGCTAGCAAAGATAGGTCACACACACACAAACACTGAACCACAGAGTGAAATTATTTATTTTTCTTTCTTCTTCTTATTTTTTTTTATCCTCACCTGAGGACATTCTTCCACCTTTTGTTCAGGTAGAGTGGGAGGGAGAGAGAGGAACAGAGAGAGAGAGAGAAACATCGATGCGAAAGGAACACATCGAGTGGCTGCCACCCGCACGACCAACCAGGGCCAGGGACAAACTGCAACCGAGGTACGTGCCCTTAGCGGGAACCGAACCCGGGTCTCTCCAGACCGCAGGCCGACGCTCCAACCGCTGAGCCAAACCTGCCAGGGCTTCTTTCTTATTTTTTAAAATTGATTTTTAGAGAAAGAAAGGAAGAGAGAGAGAGAGAGAGAGAGAGAGAGAGAGAGAGAGAGAGAGAGAGAGAACATTGATCCCCCACTGGGGATCGGGCCCACAACCTGGGCATGTGCACCAGCCACCTTTTGGTGCATGGATCCACGATCAACCACTGAGTCACACCAGCCAGGCTGATTTATTGATTGATTTGAGAGAGATCAACTTGTTTCACTTCTTTATACATCCACTGGTTGATATTTGTATGTGCCCTGACCAGAGACCGAACCCACAACCTTGGTATAATCTGGATTCGATGCTCCAACTGATCTACCTGGGCAGGGCTAGTTTGATTTAACTACAGGGAGATTACTTAAGATCATGGAAAGAATAGTTGAGTGGAGGGGGTGAGGTTAAGCCGATGGAGTGGAGCATCTTATCTCATGAGTGGAAACAACTCGTTTCAAGTTTTGGTTAAGACAGAGAGAAGAGAGCAGTAGCAGCCGGGGAAAGATGTTTTATTTTATTTTATTTTTGATGGATCAATTGAACATACCTAAAATGGTGATGACAAAGAGCCATTACTGAGAGAGATACAGGAGAGAGGAAGAACTCGAGTAATACCAGAAGTGAGGGGCGGGATCCAGAATGGAACAACCGCCAGCCTTAGATAGGGGGGCGCCTCTTCCTCTGCAAACTCAGGGCAAGGGAATAGGAAAGCTGGCAGATTCCAAAGGTCTGGTGCAGAGCAGCCGATGGAATTTCGGGTCGATTGTTTCTACTTATCTCGGTCAAGTAGATCTGACGTAAGGGAGTCGGCGCTGCGTCGAGGTTTGAGGAGAGTGCGGGTTTGAAAAGCCGTGTGGAAAACCGGAGTGTGGGGGTCTGTGCCCAGGCCAGGCGGCCGCAGCTGGTCCACGCCGGGGCCTCGCGATGAGTTAAGGAGCAGAGCCCTGAGGGCAACGCCGCGGCGCGCTGCTATGGCAACCGAACCGCAAGGCGAGGCCCACCGAGCCAGGGCGTTTTAACACACCTTTCGGGACAGCAGGTGTGCCGACCCGAGGCGTCCAAAATGAGACCGCAGCTGCCGCGACATTAGGGCCTCAAACTGCGAAACTACCTGTGACGTTACTGCTACGCAGCGCCACAGAGCAATAACGTCATCACCCCGCGCCAACGTCGCAGTAATAGAATGCTCTCCCGGAAGTGAGTTCTAGATCCGGCAGTGGAAGTGGCAGCCGGTGGCCCAGGAGAACAGGTCTGGGGAAGTCGCGCCTGAGCTGTTCCTCTACGTTTCCTCTCCGTCCTTCTTGAGTCTTCCAGGTCCACGCAGTGAGGAAGCGTCCCCACCGTCATGGGAGGCGGGGACCTGGTAAGTGAGGGAGGCCTCGGCGGGGGAGGAGACCGGTGAGGGCTGGGGACGGAAATTGGTGGGAGCGGGTAACCTTGGCAACGCAGCCTTGCTCTCTGGGGGAGAGAGCTGTAGCCCTAGAGAGGGGACGGATCGTCAAGGCCACAGAGGGACTGAGTGGAGACTGGAAAGGTGTGCCAGCTGTGTCGCCGACGGTGGCAGTTTATGTTTGTGGGTTTGTTGGCGGGAGCAGGAAATTCCAAGAAGGTGCGGGGGGCGGGGGTTGGAACCATGGGTAGGAAGGGAGGCAGATGTCGAGGGCGGGTCACGCAGGCATTATTTTGTATGTCTTGTCTTGGGACACGTCTCCCTTTCTCAGCTAGGAGCTAAGAGGCGATGTCCTGCTGTTTGGTAGGCGTGGTTTGCGCCCCATTCTTCTTTCCCTTAAGCTGTGTCCTAGGATCCATTTTAAGCCTGGGACCTTCTTCATGTCCACCTTTTCCGTTTCTCCTTCAGTGCTGCATTCTAATCATTAGCGTCAGAGCTTTCCTCCGAATTTATAGCAGTTAATATAAGTTAAGCGTCGATTTCTCTTAAACAGTATAGTTCATTTGTAGGGGGTTAAGGCCCCAAATAGGGCAATGACCCACAAGAGCATGGTGCAAGATCAGAAAAATGCTAACCTCTTGAAAGTGTAGCCCATTGAATCATCAAATAGATCAATTTAGTCACCTATCCAGTAGCTGTATTAGAGTTTGTCAGGTGTTATTGATTAGTATGAGTTTCAGTACTCCATCAGGGTTCCTCGAATTTAGTGTATTCTTCAGATAACTGTGTTTAGGGACAGGGAATCTCTAATCCAGGGATTCCCAGCCTCCAGCGCTGTTGACATTTTGGGCTGGATTCTTTGTTTTGTGTGTGTTTGGTTCTGTGCATTGTAGGATGTTTATTAGCATCCCTAGCCTCTAGCCACTAGTACCACCCCTCTCCCCCAGTTGTGATGATCAAAAATGTCTCCAGACAATGCCAGATGTTCCCTGGGGAGCATAATCACCCATTTTAAAGGAGGGAGAGGGGGACCAGTAGGAAAGGGCTGGCAAGGGTGGGTGGAGGGGTGGGGAAGGAGGAAGGAAGGACTGAAGGACCCGATGAGGGAAAAGGAAGGACAAAAAGAGAAAAAAGGAAGAAAAGGGAAACCTTATTGACTTAACACCTTCCACATTTCAGGTGTCTTGTGTGCATTTTCTCATTTATACTTCTTAACTGGTCTCCTGGTCCTTAATCTTGTTCCTCTTCAGTCCACTCTTCACATGATAGCCATATCTTTCACCTGCATATGACTCTATTGTTTCCTACTGTCAACAGAATAAGTCCAACCCCTTAACGTGGTTTGTAAGGCCCTTAATCTGCATCTTTCTTAGCTGGCTTCATCTTGAACTCCCACCCCGTCAGCTTACATTCAATGTCCAGCCACAGTGAATTATTTATCCTGTGTTCTTTCACACCACTGTGCCTTCATCTGTGTGTGCTATTCCTTCTGTTTGGATATCTTACCCTTCCTCCCCTTTCTACATTACCAGGCTAATTTATAATTGTTCTTAGATGTTACTTCCTCCAGGAAACCTACCCTGATTGGGAAGCTGAACCAGAGCAGTGACTCTTGGGGAGGAAGGAGAGGAGAAGCATTCTTTGAGGATAAAGGGGGACGGGGATCAAAACTAAGGGGAGATTCCTGGGAAGGAATGTTGAAAGAGGTACTAGATGGGGTTGTAAACCATGCAAGTGTAAGGAAGGTTAAGTGAACTGAAGGAAAAGAAGGTTGTGTTCATAAGAATGGATGTTGTTTTTCAGAGTCTGTACCTTTCCATCTCCCTACCCAGTTCCTCATGAATTGTCATCAACAACCCTGGCTTCAGACATGGCCAGTGGAAGTCAGCCTCAAATGCATTTTAAGCTAAAAGTATTTGAAGGGAATTCAGGAAGGACCTTTTATTTCCTGAAACTTTATATACTTGACCAAAACCCCCCTGGTGTGTGAGAGATTATTGGGTGCCAACCTTGTCATTGTTAAAGATAGCCTTGCCCTTATATATTCCTGCCTGGCGTGATTAGGATATAGAGGGGTGGGTGAGGCAGGGCCAGTTTTATTTGCCACCCACACACTCCCTGAATTGTTTTCTCCTCCTTTCAATTACCACAGAATCTGAAGAAGAGCTGGCACCCGCAGACACTCCGAAATGTGGAGAAAGTGTGGAAGGCTGAGCAGAAGCATGAGGCTGAGCGGAAGAAGATTGAGGAGCTTCAGCGGGAGCTCCGGGAGGAGAGGGCCCGGGAGGAGATGCAGCGCTATGCAGAGGATGTTGGCGCTGTCAAGTAAGCCAGGAGCTGTGGGTGCAGTGGGCAGTGTGGGCTGAGAATGTCCTGATGTGTGGGGAACTGCAGGAATGGCCTCTCAGTGCATCATCTAGTTATTACACAATAACTGGTTAAGAACATGGATTTTGGAGTCAGACTAACCTGGGTTCTGAGGCTGACTTGCATGTACCGGCCTGGCCATGTAACTGGGGACAAGTTTGGGAGCCTTGGTTACCTCAGTACACTCAGGAGAGAGTGAGAGTTCCCAGTTTCTAAGGTTTGTTGAAGATCAAATGAGGTAACATGTAAAGGTCTTAATGTAGGCCAAGCTCATGGTAGATGATTGGCAAATAACCATGACTGTGGATGATTGCCACTACCTACCTCTTAGAATGTGACAAGGCATTCTTGTTCCTGCTTTTGTTTATGTATTGCAGGCTCATTTTACGGGGGCAGTGAGGTCCTTTGGAAGGAGGTGGATGGTGTAAAAGCTGTGCAGCTGTGGGTAGCCCCACTCAATTTTACCCTACTTGTTTCCTCTTATGTAATATAGGATAGAGTAGCAGATAATAATTACCCTACCCATCTTATAAAAGGAAGTGGGAGTAACTGTAATAAAAAGCATAAAATATGCAGTGCATTCCTAAATCAGAATTGAATGAAAGCTACAGGTAGACTAAAATTGAGTAATCTATAATGCTCCTGTTTATGTCCTTGTGGGCACATCTCCAGGGTGGTGTGTAGCTTGTGCCCCCCATTTGATATACTGGACTTTTTCTTAATAGTTTCATGACCCAGGCAGTTCTACTTTGAGTGTCCTGTGACATTTAGGGTTGTGTGTGTGCATGGAAGACTTAGTTTCAGTTGATGCAAATGGCATTATGAAACTTAGGCAGGATAACAGTCATATTTTTTTCAGAATAATGGATTGGGGAGAGGGTCATTCTCACTTAAGTATGAATTTTTTTTTTTTATCCTCACCCGAGGACATTTTCCCATTTATTGTTCAGATAGAGTGGGAGGGAGAGAGAGGAAGAGAAAGAGAGAGAGAGAAACATCGACGTGAAAGGGACACATCGAGTGGCTGCCACCCACACAACCCAACCAGGGCCGGGGACAAACTGCAACCGAGGTACATGCCCTTAGCGGGAACCGAACCCGGGTGTCTCTAGATTGCAGGCCAATGCTCTAACCGCTGAGCAAAACTGGTCAGGGGCTTAAGTATGAAATTTGAAATGTTTTAAAATAAATGGAGTTTGAGACCTGGTTGGTTTGGCTCGACAGTTAAGCGTCAGCCTGCAAACCAGGGAGTCCTGGGTTCGATTCCGGCCAGGAGCGCATGCCTCAGTTGCAGTTGGTCCTCAGTCCTGTTGGGGTGGCAGCCAATCGATGTGTCTCTCTCATATTGATATTTCTTTCTCTTTCTTCCTCCCACTCTGTCTGAAGATAAATGTAAAGAGAGCCTTGGGTGAGGATTAAAATAAATAAATAAATAAAAATAAAATAAAATAAAATAAATGGAGTTTGAGAATTTTAAAATATATTTAGGATATTACTATATAAAATGAGATAAGAGAATGAAATATTTTTTTTACCGTGCATACACATTAAATTATTTTACTCTATATACCTTACTTTATGTAAATTATATACTTTACATTATAATTTAATGTAAATACATTTCCAACATTCTAATTAATTCTTGGGCAGCTTATAAAATGAACACACATTGTTATATGTGAAGTTTTAGATTTTGTGAACCCTTGGTTTTAAAACAGAGATCAATTTTAGACTGAAGACCCATTAGTCATAAAAGTTCACTTTCCCACTAACCAAAGGTAAAAAATTATTTTGAAATTGTCCTTCAATAAAGCATTACAATCATATGCCTGATGTATCAGAAATCTGGGCTTTATAGAATCTAATTAGAGGTTGGAGTATACAGATGAACAGCCTCAGAACTGAGATGTAAATACCCTGTTGCTGACCCTTATGCCTGCTTGTCTATTGCAAATGAGAAGAAGATGATTTTATATTCTTTTGATGTTTTTGCTCCCTTACCTACCCTCCAGTGTTATAAAACACGAAGGTCAACATGTAGATCCTGCTTTTTTTTTTCAGTCTTTACTTGCAGATGTATTTAGATGATCTGCTTTCCATCTAGACTATTTTGTACAATTTTTTTGCACAGTGTCAGGCTTTTAATTTAGCCTATAAAATAAAAACCTTTTACTATCTAATGTTTCACTTCTGTTGTTCAGAATATCTTTTTTTAAAAAAATATGATTTATTAATTGTTTTAATCCTTTATATTTTTCTATTGATTTTCAGATGAGGCGGGGAGAAAGAGAAACATTAATGTGAGAGAGACACATCAATTGGTTGCCTCCCACATAACCCCAACCAGAGCCAGGGATTGAACCGCAACTGAGGAATGTGCCCTTGACCAGAATCAAACCCACGACTCTTTGGTCTTCGGGCTCTAATTACTGAGCCAAACTGACCAGGGCCAGATAATCCTTTTTTATGTTTGAAATGCATCTCTCAGGACAAATGAAAACCTTAATATACATATTATCCTGCAATAGAGTGTTGCAGTAGAGTGTTGCTTTAATATTTACTTATAATTTTAGAATATTGTTTTCTGGACAGTGGTCTATATCAGTGTTTCTCAACCCTTGCACTTTAGAGAGCTCTTGGAAGATTAAATAAGGATGGGAGTGATTCCTACCCAAGCAGATTCCCTAAGAATAGCAGGGGTGCACAGTCCATGTGGCTTAGTGGTTAAGCATCGACCCATGCACCAGGAGGTCGCCGGTTTGATTCCTAGTCAGGGCACATGCCCAGGTTGTGGGCCCAATCCCCAGTAGGGGGCATGCAGGAAGTGGCCAGTCAATGTTTTCTCTCATCGATGTTTCTATTCTCTCTCTCTCTTCTTCCTTCTTCTCTCTCTCAAAGTCAATAAAGAAAAGAAAATAGCCCTGGCCGGTTTGGTTCAGCGGTTAGAGCGTCGGCCTGCGGTCCTGAGAGACCCGGGTTCGGTTCCCGCTAAGGGCACGTACCTCGGTTGCAGTTTGTCCCCGGCCCTGGTCGGTTGTGCAGGTGGCAGCCACTCGATGTGTCCCTTTCACATCGATGTTTCTCTCTCTCTCTCTGTTCCTCTCTCTCCCTCCCACTCTACCTGAACAAAAAATGGAAAAAAAAAAAAAGAAAAGAAAATAAAAAATATAGCAGGGAATGTGTGGATCAGGGCATCTGTATATATTAAGAGCTTCCTGGATGGTCCTAATGGACAGCCTTGATTCAGAACCTGGCCTGTATCCTTAATGATAGCACCAACAAAATCTATAGATCATTTTGCTTTTATATGGCTTTTACTCCAAATATTTTCTCATTTAAAAGGAGTAACAATGAGAGATGGTGCTTGCTAGCTCCATTTTAGACAGGAGGATATGGATGTGCACAGAAGTAGTATGCATGGTTACCTAGCTGATAAGTGGTGGAACCAGGACAAGTCCTGTGACCCTGGATCTCGGCTATACAACATGTTCTCTTACTAGAGGGCCTGAGTAGGACTAGTACTAGCAGAATCCTTAAAGAGTAGATAGAGCTATGAAAATACTACTTTATAGAAGTATCTATATTATCATATTCTTTCTTCTGTATTTGATCCAGTTGCCCTTCCCCAGAAACGTTTTCCTCCTTAGCTTACAGGTTCCTGGTCCTCCCATTTCTTCATATCACCTCTTCTCTCTTTCCTACATTTACTTAGCTTCTTTTCTAGTAACTGGTCATGTTCCCTCAGGCCTACTGCTCTTCTCCCTTTATTCTCTCTCTCTTTAAGAGCTCCTTCATTCCTCTAGCACCCATTGTCCACTTCATGCTGATGACTCCCAGGTTTATCCCACCCAAACTCCTGTATCTCTGTATGTTCAGCTGCCTTCCCAGGCAGTCCTACTTTGAGTGTCCCAGAGTCACCTCACCACATGCTTAGGTCTCATCGGCACTGTTTGGCAATTTATTAACTCACATGCCTCATCCAGTAACCTATGAGCAACTCAGCTGCCTGAATTTTTTTTCATCCTTTTAGCTTTGCTCATCTGTCTGGCACATAGGAAGTATGCTGAGTAAATGTTTACATATGAATAAATGAATATTTATTCCCAATTTCCCCATCACTGGTGTCAGGTATGCATACATGATCCCTTCATTCATTTTTTACATGTCCTTTAAAAATCCCCCTACCCAGTTACAAAGACTTCCTGCTTTTCTTTTCGTTTTAAAACATTTTTTTTTTCTTTATTAGTTTTAGAGAGAAAGGAAGTAAGAGGAAGAGAGAGATAGAAACATCGATGAGAGAGAACATTGACTGGCCACCTCCTGCATGACCCCCACTGGGGATTGGGCCCACAACCTGGGCATGTGTCCTGACCAGGAATCGAACCAGTGACCTCTTAGTCAATGCTCAACCACTGAGCCACACTAGCCGGACTTTTTTTTTTTTAATATGATTTTTTATTGATTTAGAGAGAGAAATAGAAACATCAATGTGAGAGAGAAATATCCATCGGCTGCCTCCTGTACACCTCCTACTGGGGATTGAGCCTGCATGTGCCCTGACCAGGAACTGAACCTGGACCTCTCAGTCCATGGGATGACACTCAATCCACTGAGCCACAACAGCTGGGCTCTTTTTTAAAAATAACTTTTAAAAATGGTGTTTTTAAAAAAATATGTTTTTATTGATTTTAGAGGGAAAGGAAGGGAGAGGGAGAGAGAGAAAAACATTGATCAGCTGCCTCCAGTATGCACTCCAACTAAGGATCTAACCTGCCGCCTAGGTATGTGCCCTGACTGGGAATTGAACTGGCAACCTTTTGGTGCAGGGGATGAGGCTCAACCAGCTGAGCCACACCACACCAGACCTGTTTTTCTTTAAAAAAGTACTGCCTAGCTTAAGATCTATTGCCCATGAATTGTCAAACAGTGAACACGTGATCATTAGGCAACTGTCTGGGATTCACAGGTGATTCCCAGCTATCCAGGAGTTTAAGAACCCTGGTGGGAGAGACAAACACATATACATAGATAACAAAAAGACAAGCTAGCTTGTATTTAGCACTTATTTTGAGCCACGTATTCTTCTGAATGTGTTAAAAATCCTCTAACTTACTTAATCCCCAACCTGTGAGGTAGGCACTGCTTTATGTCCATTTTATAGGTGCGGACACCAAGCCTCAGAGAAGTTTCTTGCTTTTGGAGTCGAGATTCAAATTCATATTTCCTGACTTCAGAGCTAGTGCTTTTAACCATTATGTTATGCTGCCTTTCAGAAAAATGAGCTTTCTAGAATATTCTAGTCATCACTGATCTTTCTGCTCAGACCTCCTTAAGATCTGATGTGGTATTCCTTTCATAATCAGTTCTTTTTCTCCTCCCCAGTTTTGTGTTTGAATGACAGAACACACAAAACCAAACAGAGAACTCCCAAAGGAAATGATGGTCATGTCTCACTGTTATTTGTCCTTTGGTACTCCATCTTCTAAGCATTTGTATTTTTTTTTTCTTTTCTTTTTTTGCAATTTTTATTCATTTATTTTTGTTACAGATGCCCTCCCCACCCCGACACCCTCCTCCCAATCCCACCCTATTTTTTCTTTTAATACTATTATACAGCCCTGGCCAGTTTGGCACAGCGGTTAGAGCGTCGGCCTGCGGACCAGAGAGTCTGGATTCGGTTCCCACTAAGGGCATGTACCTCGGTTGCAATTTGTCCCTGGCCCCAGTTGGGGTCGTGTGGGTGGCAACCACTCGGTGTGTCTCTCTCACATCAACGTTTCTCTCTCTCTCTTCCTCCTTCACTCCCTCCTGCTCTATCTGAAGATAAATGCAAAAATGTCCGGGTAAGGATAAAAAAAAAATACTATTATACATTTATTTTGATCACAAATACAATCCAAATGTGAATAAATAAATGTATTATCTTTTCACACCTCATCCTCCCTTCATCATGTCCTTTAAATAGAAAAAAGTGCCAAATATCTCTTCATAGCCTATTTGACCATAGTTAACCTGTGGTTTAAAAACAGACTGTATCTTGGTATTCCACAATCTTTCTTGAATTATAGCTCATTCTGTTAAAGAAATCCTAGGAAAGAAGTCCCATTGATATTGTCCATAGTTCCAAAAGGTGAGGGTGGTAACTGGGTTGAAGGCAACTGGGAGGGGTTCTTCAGCAAATAAGGATCATTGGGAAACTGCAAAAGGCAAATCTTAAGAAGATACCAATTCCTCCAATTAAAGCTAGGAGAACGCCACCTGTCACAGCTGACCCAACAACCATGGCCCCTGGTCCATTTCTTGCTGCCTGCGTGGCTCCTGTTAAGGCAGCACTTGTGATGGAATTCCAGGGATCTTCCTTTCCTCTGGCTTGAAGCATATGCAGCCAGTCGTGGAAAACGGACCTCCTCAAACTACAAAGCTACCTCCCAACTGTGGAGGGCTGGGTTTTTTTATTTTATTTTATAAATAGAAGCAAAAGTTTATTTAGAAAGTCACAGAGGTAGAAGTGAGCCTTGGAAGAAGTCAGCCAGCTGGGCTGCATGGGCCCAGGAAAGAAGTTACAGAAGCAAAAGAAGGGTCCTTGAAGCTTAGGAGAAAGAAAGCAAAGGTAACATGCCTGAGGGTGCGGGTGTGCCCCAGAGAGAGAGAGAGTGCACACTGGAGGCCTGATTTTATTTTTATTGTTATTATTTTTTGTTAATCCTCTCCTGAGGATATTTTCTCCATTGATTTTATTGGGGAGAGTGGAAGTGAAAGGAGGAGGTGGGAGGAAACAGAGAGAGAGAGAGACATCAGTGTGAGAGAAACACATTGATTGGTTGTCTCCCACACAACCTTGACCAGGGCCAGGGATCAAACCTGCAACCCAGGTACATGCCCTTGACCGGGAATTGAACCTAAGACCCTCCAGTGTGCTGGCTGATACTCTAATCACTGAGCCATGCCAGCCAGGGCTAGAGGCCTGATTTTAATAGCTGTCAAACTCCCTTGTAGTCTCTGGTTTATTCCCACTGGTGAATGGCAAAAACCTTGAATTGCTTGACAGACACCACTACTGGTGGTATTCATTGTAAAGGCCCCCCCACCATCTTCCATTTTTTGCCAGGGCACGACTCTCGCTCATACTCCTCCATCTTGACTCCAGTGGCTTGCAAGCTGGGTAGAGCCTGAACCTAATGGCCTACCATCAATTCTTAATTATAGACTGTAGTCTAATAGGAAAAGAGCTGCAGTCTAATAGGAAAAAATCTAAAGTGTTATGATCCTCCATTATTGGTTTAACTTATTAAAAATGTCCAAAGATGTGCCCAGCCAGTGTGGCTCAACCACTGAGCCATTCCGGCCGGGCACCCCTGCTATTCTTAGGGAATCTGCTTGAGTGGGAATCACTCCCATCCTTATTTAATCTTCCAAGAGCTCTCTAAAGTGCAAGGGTTGAGAAACACTGATATGGACCACTGTCCAGAAAACATTGGACTGAGGTTCCGGTTTGATTCCCAGTCAGGGCACATGCCCAGGTTTCGGCCTTGATCTCCAGTAAGGGTCATGCAGGGGGCAGCTGATCAATGTTTCTATCTCTTACTCCCTCTCTCTTTAAAAAAATCAATACAAATATTTTTTAAATAAATAAATAAAAATGTCCTAAGCTGTAACCAAGAAGACATTCTTTTTTTAAATTTATTTTTTTAATCCTTACCTGAGGACATTTTTTCATTTCTTTTTCAGATAGAGTGGGAGGGAGAGAGGGAGGGAGGGAGAGAGAGAAACATCAACATGAAAGGGGCATATCGAGTGGCTGCCACCCGCACAACCCAACCAGGGCCGGGGACAAACTGCAACCTAAGTACATGCCCTTAGCAAGAACCGAACCCGGGTCTCTCTGGACCACAGGCCGATGCTCTCACCGCTGAGCCAAACTGGCCAGGGCAGGAAGACATTCTTTATGCTCATGGTTGTTATATAATCTTAAACAAAAATAAATACACAATTTATTATTTTTTTTATCCTCACCTGAGGACATTTTTCGATATTTTGTTCAGCTAGAGTGGGAGGGAGAGAGGAAGAGAGAGAGAGAGAAACATCGACATGAAAGGGACACATCGAGTGGCCGCCACCCGCACGACCTGACCAGGGCCGGGGACAAACTGCAGCCGAAGTACATGCCCTTAGCAGGAACCGAACCCGGGTCTCTGTAGACCGCAGGCCAACCCTCTAACCGCTGAGCCAAACCGGCCAGGGCTAAATACACAATTTAAAGCATAAAAAGTCATATTCATAAAACATTCAGTTGAATTTTATAGATAATACTCGTTTGATGAAAGTACTTTGCTGCTTGCAGTGTGAATGTGGTATTGGCTGCTTCAACATATGCTCTTATGAATTCAGCTTGCCTTTATTGTCTGTTGTTTGAAGGCTCACTTTTCTCACCACTTGTTTTTCTCAAAATCACAGGGAAATATTTGTTTGGCATGATACCATGACATTTTATTTTGGCCCCTCTCTTTTGGCTCGAAAGCATAATTTTCTTATTAGGTTATCTTTGGTCTTTCTTCATGATCTCCTCAAATTAGTATCACCTCTTGTGCCAATACGACAATAAGCACTAAAACACACGATGAATACAACTACATACGTGGTCACTGAAATTGGTCTTGGTAATGAGGTGATCCAGAATATGCTTATTGTTTCAGATTATCCTCAAAATGAAAGAATAATATAAAGACTTTGTAGAGGAGACTTGAGAAGCTCTGAGCAAAGATCTGTGCCCCAGGTGGAGGAACACTGTTTTTCCTCATAAATTGCTCTAGGGGGTGAAAACGATCTCCACTACATGGTAAGCTTCATGCTGGCAAGCACCATTTCTTCTCGTGTGCCACGTGGAGTACTGGGTTTAGCCCATGCTAGGTGCCTCTAGAATGAGTTCTGCCCTGACCAGCTCTGATTATGTATCTCTTGTGTTCAGGTTTTGTGTGTAGGTTTGCAGGAGTCTACATTTTCTGTTCTTTTTTTTTCTTGAACTAGGAAAAAAGAAGAAAAATTGGACTGGATGTACCAGGGTCCTGGTGGGATGGTGAACCGTGATGAGTACTTGCTGGGACGCCCCATTGACAAATATGTTTTTGAGAAGATGGAGGAGAAGGAAGCAGGCTGTTCTTCTGAGACAGGACTCCTCCCAGGCTCTATCTTTGCCCCATCGGGTGCCAATTCCCTCCTTGACATGGCCAGCAAGATCCGGGAGGACCCACTCTTCATCATCAGGTACTAATGAGGGGCTGGGAAGGGGGCTTTTATATAGAAATCCTTAGTGGAGATGTTATATAGCCTCTTACTTCACAGTTGGTTTCCTCTTAGCTTTTGTCTATCATGTAAAAGGATTTGTCTCCATTTGGGCTTCTTGATGTGGGGAAGGAGGCTCCATTACAAATGTCTGGTGTAGGCCATATGGGAAGAGATTGGCAATTGGACCAGAGCAGGTAGATCAGACTGGATTTATTCAGTTACTGTTGACCTCCAATCAAAAATATAAGGTATACCCTGGCCAGTTTTGCTCAGTGGTTACAACGTTGCCCCATGGACTGAAGGGTCTTGGGTTTGATTCCCGGTCAAGGGCACATACCTAGGTTGCAGGTTCGATCTCTGGTCCTGGTTGGGATCATGTGGGAGGCAACCAATTGATGTGTCTCTCTCACATCCATGTTTCTCTCTTTCTCACTCTCTCTCCCTTCTACTGTATCTAAAAATCAGCGGAAAGACTACTTTCAGGGATCATTTCTATAGTTTGTTAAAAATCAATGGAAAAATATCCTCAGGTGAAGATTAACAACAACAAAAAAATGAGGTAGAAGCAAGGTGAGAAAGGGTGGCAGCTTCTTGGAAACTGTTCACCCACTGGCTAGGTGGGTGAACAGGCCTTCTTTCCTCCTATTCCCCCACCCCCATTTGTTTTTTTGCAGCAGAACCCTTTAAAAGAACCTTTAGAATCTCCCTTGAAACCCTAACATGTAACAGATAAAAGTAGCTACATTTTGGATGCTGAATGAAATCATGCTGTGCATATTATTTTGGGGGGATTTGATTTGCAATATTTTATTTCCAGTGTGTAAGATTCAACATCAAAAATGTTTATTGGCTCTGGCCAGTTTGGCTCAGCAATTAGAGCGCTGGCCTGCGGACCAAAGAATCACAGGTTTGACTCCTATTAAGGGCATGTACTTTGGTTGCGATTTGGTCCCTGGCCCTGGTCGGGGTCGTGCGGGAGGCAACCAATTGATGTGTCTCTCTCACATCTATGCCCCCCCTCCGCCACTCTATCTGAAGATAAATAGAAAAAAAACTTGGGTGAGGATTAAAAAAGAAAAGAAAAGTAAAAATATTTATTGGCCCTGGCCAGTTTGGCTCAGCAGTTAGAGTGTCAGCCCATGAACCAAAGGGTTGTGGGTTCAATTCCCGGTCAAGGGCATATACCTGGGTTGCAGGTTTGATCCCCAGCCTTAGTTGGGGTTATGTGGGAGGCAACCAATTCTTGTATCTCTCTCACATCCATGTTTCTCTCTCCCTTCCTTCTTTCCACTCTCTCTAAAACTCAATGGAAAAATATCCTCAGGTGAGGGATTAAAAAAATGTTTATTGTTATTTATATTTCTTTTAAAGCTATTTATATGTTAAAGATATTGCATATGTGTATGTAAAGATATTGTACAGTATTTGTATATGCAAATATTTTCTCCTTTGTTAGCCTCCTTTTTAAAATTTTATTATTTTTTTAAAATATATTTTTATTGATTTTTTTTTTAGAGAGAAAAGAAGGGAGAGAGAGATAAAAACATTGATGTAAGAGATACATCTGTCAGCTGCCTCCTGCATGCCCCCTACTGGGGAGTCCACAATATGGGCATGTGCCCATAGACCCATGCACTAGTAGGTTGCTGGTTCGATTCCCAGTCAGGGCACATGCCGAGGTTGTGGGCCAAATACCCAGTGTGGGGCATGCAGGAGGTGGCCAGTTGATGTTCTCGCTCATTGATGATTTTTTCTTTCTCTCCCTGTCCCTTCCTCTCTCTCTAAATCAATAAAGAAAAAAAAATTGTAGTGAAATATATACAACATAAAATTTATAACCGTTTAGGCCCTGGCCGGTTTAGCTCAGCGGTTAGAGGGGACGGACCAAGGAGTTGTAGGTTCAATTCCGGTCAACAGCGCGTACCTTGGTTGCAGTTTGGTCCCCAGTCCTGGTTGTGTTCGTGCGGGAGGCAGCCAATCGATATGCCTCTCTCACATCGATGTCTCTCTCTCTCTCCCTCCCACTCTATCTGAAGATAAATGGGAAAATGCCTTTGGGTGAGGATTAAAAAAAAATTAATAACCATTTTATTTATTTATTTATTTATTTATTTATTTATTTATTTTTATTTTTTTATCCTCACCCGAGGACATTTTTCCATTTTTTGTTCAGATAGAGCGGGAGGGAGAGAGAGGAAGAGAGAGAGAGAGAGAAACATCGATGTGAAGGGACACATCGAGTGGTTGCCACCCGCACAACCAACCAGGGCCGGGGACAAACTGCAACCGAGGTACGTGCCCTTAGTGGGAACCGAACCTGGGTCTCTCTGTACCACAGGCTGACGCTCCAACCGCTGAGCCAAACCGGCCAGGGCTAATAACCATTTTAAATGTACAGTTGAGTAATGTTAAGTATGTCCACATTGTTGTGCAGCCAATCTCCAGAAGCTTTCATCTTGCAAAACTGAAACTCTCTACCCATAAACAACTCTGTATTTTTTCTTTCCCCCAGCTCCTGGGAACTGCCATTCTACTTTCTGTTTTTATGAGTTTGACTAGTGTGGGAACCTTATATAAGTGAACTCAAACAATTTTTATCTTTTTGTGACTACTTTATTTCACTCAGCGTAATGTCTTCAAGTTTCATCCATGTTGTAGCATGTGTCAGAATTTCCTTCCTATGTAAGGTTGAATAATATTTCACTGTATACACTTTATTTATTCACCTGTGGATGGACTTGTTTCCACCTTTTGGCTATTGCGAATAATACTGCTGTGAACATTGGTGTACTAATGTTGCACATACTATTTTATGAACTTCTTTTCATCTAATTATGTATATTGAACATCTTTCTATGCCACTAACTATGCTTCTATAACATCATTTTATGTCTCTATTGTATGGATATAGCATAATTTATTAATACTCTCTTGTTGAACCTCTAACTTGTTTCCAAATTTTCATTGTTATAATATGAATACCTTTATTGTGACCTTCCTTGATAATTTCCTTAAGTAACAAATTTGTTAGACCAAAGAGCATGTGCAGGCTGTGATAAGTGTTGTCAAATTGTTCTCCAGGGAAGTTGACCAATTTACCCGCCTATGAACAATATAAAAAAAAAAGTGCCCTGGCCGGTTTGGCTCAGCGGTTAGAGCGTTGACCCACGGACCAGAGAGTCCCGGGTTCGGTTCCTGCTAAGGGCACATACCTCAGATGCAGTTTGTCCCCGGCCCCAGCCGGGGCTGTGTGGGTCGCAACCAATTGATGTGTCTCTCTCACATCGATGTTTCTCTCTCTCTCTCTTTTCCCCCCTCTCCCTCCCGCTCTATCTGAAGATAAATGCAAAAGTGTCCTCGGGTGAGGATAAAATAAATAAATAAATAAATAAAATTTAAAAAAGTGTGACTTTTTTTTAAACCATCTGTTTTTCATTTTTTTTTTTTTTATTTTAGAGAGAGAGGAAGGGAGAGGGAGAGAGAGAGACAAACATCGATGAGAGAGAACATCGATTGGCTGCCTTCAGCATACCCCCTCTGGGGATCGGGCCCACAATCTGGGCATGTGCCTTGATGGGGAATTGAACCGATGACCTCTTGGTGCATGGGTTAATGCTCAACCAGTGAGCCATACCGGGCGGGCAGTATTGTTGTTGTTGTTGTTTAATATGATTTTATTGATATTTTTAGAGAGAGAAGAAAGGAGAGAGAGAGAGAGAGAGAGAGAGAAAGAGAGCGAGAAACATCTATGGGTTGCCTCCCGTACCCCAACTAGGGACCAAACCTGCAACCTGGGCATGTGTCCTGACCAGGAATCAAACTGGTGACAAGTTGATTCATGGGACAACATTCAACCAACTGAGCCACACTGGCCAGGGTGAGAGTGTGACTTCTCAAAAGAGGAATCCACTCTCTTTATTTCCCAGGTGGCTATTATGCTAAACAGTGGATATAGTATTGGAAAATTGCAACCAGCTGATACACAACAACCAATTGACACACAGGAGACACCCATTTACTTGACTAGTTGAGAAGCCTTGAGTGTGAAGGCTAACAAGAAACACACCAAACTCTCTTGCACCATAGGGAACCAGTGTGGACTTCCCACAATATTCAATCCCTTTTGCAGATTTGGGGAAGATTTCTGGCTTTTACACCATCATGTATATTTCAGCATAGGGCCTGTCTCCACGCATTTTGAAAAAAGATTGCTATATAGAATTGTGGAGAGTAGAATGAGTTACTTAATCTCCTTTCTAAAATAAATTGTTATCATTTTTATAATTTAGGAAAAAGGAGGAGGAGAAAAAAAGAGAAGTATTGAATAATCCTGTGAAAATGAAGAAAATCAAAGAATTGGTAAGTAGTGCATTAAATAAGCACCAGGAGCCCTGGCCGGTTTGGCTCAGCGGTTAGAGCATCAGCCTGCGGTCCAGAGAGACCCGGGTTCAGTTCCCGCTAAGGGCACGTACCTCAGTGGCAGTTTGTCCCCGGCCCTCGTTGGGTTGTGTGGGTGGCAACTACTCGATGTGTCTCTCTCACATCGATGTTTCTCTCTCTCTCTCTCCCTCCCACTCTATCTGAACAAAAAAAATGGAAAAAAAAAAAATAAATAAATAAATAAGCACCAGGAGTATCTTTTAGCTATTTAACATGAGAACTTCTCTGTATTTACTTTACCTTACAAGAAGGAAAACAGTGGCTTTAACCATTTTTGTCTTTTAGAAACTTTTCCCTGGTGATTTCATGCAATTTTAATTTACCAAGCTTAATTAAGCTTGATATCCTCTCTTATGTCTTTTGGTTGGGAAAGTACCATGTGATGTCATGGTTCTAGAAAAAGAGGGGTATGGGATATGCCTGTGGAAAGCATGATCATATAGTGTGTTTCAGAGATCAGGTATTAGATAGAGCCTCTAGGGCTCTTTGAATATTCACATGACATTTTATGGAAATTTAAGAAAAATTTAAAGATTGATTTTGCAGTTCTTGATTGCTTTAAATGGAGTTGGAGTTCTTTTGACAGATGGGAATTGTAAGTGGTGGTTCCAGGGACTATTTAAAAAATTCCTGCCCTGGCTAGTTTGGCTCCATTAGAGTTTTGGCCTGAGGATGGAAGGGTCTCAGGTTCAATTCCTGGTCAAGAGCATGTACCTGGGTTGCAAATTCAATCCCCTACCCTGGTCAGTGTCATTGGGGAGGCAGCTGGTCGATGTGTCTCTCTCACATCTATGTTTCTCTCTCTTTCTCCCTCCCCCTCCCCCTTTCACTCTTGTCTTAAAAAAAAAAAAAATCAATGGAAAAATATCCTCGGGTGAGGATTTAAAAAATCACACACAAATTCCTAGCCCCACCCACCAGAGATTCTCTTCATTAGTCTAAGGGGCATTTGTGCACAACCAGGGTTAAGATCCTCCTCCTCTTGACACAGAAACTCTGGATAATGTCCTGGCTCCCTGTAGATCCAGAGGCTTGGAGTCAGATAGTTTGTGCATAACCCAGTCCCCTCAGAAGAACTGATCAGTCTCAGTAATCTTGTGTGGTTATGTTCTGGGCATTTTTCTAGTTGCAAATGAGTCTGGAAAAAAAAGAGAAGAAGAAAAAGAAGGAGAAGAAAAAGAAGCACAAGAAACATAAGCACAGAAGCTCAAGTAGCGATCGTGGCAGCAGTGAGGATGAGCGCAGCTGGGGGAGGTGAGTGTGGAGGCAGGCCTCCCTCATCACTGATTCATTCACTCATTCATTCCACAGACACTAACTGAATGCCCCCTCCAAGCTGGGATCTGCCAGGAACTGGGGTTTCAGTGGTGAGCTCATACACAGCCTGTGCCCTCAGAGCTTGCCATCTAGCACTAGAGTTCCTTGGAGATCTTCGCATGACCCCATAGCCCTCAGTCTTCAGACACATATCCTGGATATGATTGAAATGAGTTTTATGTAGACTTATTTTTCTTCTTCTTTTATTTTTAATGCTTTAATGGGCCCATCTGGGCCCATTCTGTATGTCTTCTCTGTGGGAGCAGTCAGCATTGTCACTGCTGACTCACTCTGAGTCCCTGGAATAGCAGCAGGAGGTGAGAGGAGAATGTGTTCAGGCATAAGGGCTGAAAAACTGGGCCCCCCATACTTACCTGGCAGGGGAGATACCATGATCATGAAAAACTGGGCCCACGGTTTTGCACAGGAAAAACATGACTGTGCTGATGCATCTTTCAGCAAAGATAGTCCAGATAGAGAGAGACACACTCCCAAGTAATAGCTGGGAGATGGGAAAGGTCACCATTGAAACAGGAAGCACATTTCAGCACAAGAGATTTAAACTAGACCTTTACACATTTTCTTTTTTAATGGGTGTGTGTTTTAATCTCTTAGATCTCAAAAGAAGATGGCAAATTCTTCCTCTGTTTTGTCCAAAGTTCCTGGGTATGGCTTACAGGTAAAGATGTGGGCTTCTCAAAGGGAGAGGGCCTGTCGAATGTGCCACCGTGACAGCCTTTTTGGGTATAAGTAGAGCCTTTTGCCCAACCAGCTTTTTTTATTTTTCTTGTCAACTTTTAACAGCCAATCAAACATTATGTGGGGAAAAAGGGAGTTTGAGCAGCCAAGAGTGGGGCTGCTGGGGAACAGGCCCATTCCTTATCCCTGAGCTGAGGGCCCTCTGGGCAGAGAGGGTAAACCACCAAGTGGAGCATTTAGTCATTCTGTCCTTTCCTCTGCAAAGAATTTATAGGACATGCATACATTTTAAGTGTACGGGTTGATGACTTTGACAAATGTTCACCCCTCTGGATTCCTTCTTTTCCCTCAGCATGTTTAGCCTTAGGTCCTGTCCTCCATGCTCGGCCTCTTGCTCCTCCTTAGGCTGCAGTGAATTGCCAGGCCAGTTAAGGTGGCTGGGTGGGTACTTTACATTTGTATGGTTCTCTGTGAAGGGATTGATTTACCCAGTTGTCTCCTTATAGAACCTCATTGTTCATTCATTTTCTTGTCTCACTGCATTTTCTCCTGAGCTGCTGGCTTTTCCTATAAATAACCTTTCTTCCTTTCCTTGATGATATAGATCAGGGACTCTGACCATGGCCACCATCTGCAGGATCCTTTGATGGCTAAGCCAAAAGGAGTGCATGGGTGGAAGAATCACTCCAGATCCAGAAGCTCATCCCCCTCACCTCCCAGACATGCCAGCAAGAAGAGCACCAGAGAAGTAGGGTCTCGGGACAGGAGGTCTCGATCCCCAGGCCGGAGGTCACGGTCCCCAAGACCAAGCAAACTGTGAGTCTGGGAATTCACTGTTAGATAAACTGTGCATGTGGGGCCTGGTCATAACAGGTTATTTGCTTTTGGTGATATCTGTTCATTAATTTTCCAAATGCCTTTGCTTTGTTATTCCCTGTACATCACCCCCTGCCCCTACCTCAATGTAAAGCTCAAGCCCCTAGAACTACATATTTATATATTTGGAATCTCTAGAGCTAGTCTAATATCAAATCTTATGTATCTTTATGTTTTTGTTTTTCTTCCACTTCTGCCCTCTATTCTCTTCGATTTGGATTATAATTCTAACACACTGAGCTTTCCTTCCATCATTTGAAGAACATGATAAAATCCCTTGTATTGAAAAAGCTTTTCTCCTCTCTGTCTTCTGTGTCTGTTACAGGCACAACTCTAAGGTAAATAGGAAAGAGAGAGGCCGAACTAAGAGCCCATCACCTAAAAAAGAGGTCTACCAAAGGCGGCACGCACCTGGATATACCAGGTGAGTCAAGAGCCTAGTAGATAAACTGCAGACGCTGCAGGCCTGAGTCTAGGAGTGGTTCAAACCTGGGCAAGTGGACAATTTATATCACCTTTTTGCTCAACCAGCTTTTTAAATTCTTCTTGTCAACTTTTAACAGTCTGTCCCACCTCCTCACAGTGGGAGGCACATTGAAAGGACAAATTAATTGACTGTCTCTCAGCATCTGTAAGCATGTTAATTCATGTTTTTAAATATGTTTTTATTGATTTTTGTTGTTGTTGTTAATCCTAACCCGAGGATATTTTTCCACTAATTTTTACATAGAGTGGAAGGAAGAGAGGGAAGGAAGAAGGGAGAGAGGGATAGTGAGGGGTGGGGGGAGGGCATCGATGTGAGAGAGACATATCGATTGGTTGCCTACCCCACAATCCTGACCCGGGCCAGGGATCAAGCCTACAACCCAGGTATGTGTCCTTGACCAGGAATCGAACCTGAGACCCTTTGATCTGTGGGCCAATGATCTAACTGCTAAGTCAAACCAACCTTAGGGCTTTTTATTGATTATTTTATCTAAAAAAATTTTTTTTCTTTATTGATTTTAGAGAGTAAGGGAGAGGGAGAGACAGAGAGAAACATTAATGAGAGAGAGCATCAACTGGTTGCCTCCTGCATGCCCCGCACGGGGGATCAGGCCCACAACCTGGGCATGTGCCCTGACCGGGAATCAAACCAGCAGCTTTTTGGTGAATGGGTTGAAGCTCAATCACTGAACCACACTGGCTGGGCTTTTTCTTCTTTAGATAGAGTGGAGGGGAGGGAGGCAGAGAGAAAAAGAGAGAGAGAAGGAGAGAGAGAGAGAGAAACGTCAATGTGAGAGAGATATCAATTGGCTGCCTCTTACACAACCCCAAACAGAGCTGGGGATCGAACCTGCAAACCAGGTACATGCCTTGACCTGGAATCAAACCCATGACCCTTAGGTCCATGGGCTGACGCTTAAACCACTGAGCCAAGCTGGCATGGCAAGGTGGTTCCGTTTTTTTGCTGGTAGAGAAGTCGACCTGATAGGATGGTTTTTGTGTTCAACAGAAAACTCTCATCAGAGGAACTTGAGAGAAAACGGCGAGAGATGATGGAAAATGCCAAGTGGCGGGAGGAAGAGAGACTGAACATCCTTAAGAAGCATGCTAAGGATGATGAACGGGAGCAGAGGCTGGAGAAGCTGGACTCTCGGGATGGGAAATTTATCCAGTAAGTGCATCTTCCTCCTGCCCAACGGTTTTCATGGTGATGGTCCGAAGGAGGCAGTTGGACAGCTGGTTCATTCCTTGTGTTCCCAGTGCTTCTGTGTCTGTGCAGAAAGAACATGGAGCTCAGTTTCCAGACCATCTTTGTTACCACTCCCAGCTTCTGGCCAGAGAGTAGGATGTTTTTTATTTGAGGGGAGGAGAAATGAATTAGTATTTTCATTGAATCTCCTTGGCCTTCCTTTTAAATAGAATTCATGGTTCAGGAAGTCTTTTTCCAATGAGGCTTTGACTGTTTTCTAAAACATAAATTTTCCCTTTGGAACTGGTTTAAAAATTGAGTTCCAGATGGAGTTAGAAGTAATATATGTGGGCTTAAAAGAGCTTGTGTTTCTACAGCTGCTTTGTGGCTAATTTTGCTAGATGACCAGTTGACACGTTTGTCACTTAACATTCGTCTTGTCTTCTCTCCCTAGCCGCATGAAGCTAGAGAGTGCATCTACCTCCTCCCTGGAGGATCGGGTGAAGCGGAATATCTACTCTCTACAGAGGACCTCAGTAGCTCTGGAGAAGAACTTTATGAAAAGATGAAAACCATCCCTCTTGCTGATTTTCCTGAATTTTCCAGGGAAGCTGATGACCTCTTAAAAATTCTCTTTATAAGAGTTCAAGTGACTTATTCCACAGATGTCAATCACCACTGTTCAAAGTGACTTTCCTTCATCGATTCCTGAAACAGCTACTTCCTTTGGGAACTAGTGTGACTTGCTTAATGGGTTCCTCAGCAACTTTTGCTGGGTTCAGAGTGGGTTTTGACTGTTTTTAATGGGTGGGCACTGGACTATCTAGGTGTGAGCACTCTTGCTGCTCTGGAAGGCTGCTCCCTGTGGTAGTGATTCTTACTTATTACAGTTGTCCCTCGCCAGTTCATGCCTCCAACTTTTGCGGCTTCACTCTATCGCAGTTTTTTCAAATACTATACTATACTATACTATATTTGAAAAAACCGCGATAGAGTGAAGCCGCGAAAATTGAAGCATGAAGTGGCGAGGGACGACCGTATAAATAAAGAATCCTACTTTGCGGAAATTCATTTATTGCGGTAGAGTCTGGAACTGATTAACCGTGATAAACGAGGGTGGACTGTATGCCACTTTCCTCCCACCTGTGTGAACATAACTATCCCACCACCTCAGTATATACCAAACCTTTTAGAAACCTCACTCTCCAGAGTCACTGAGATAGATTGTGCTTACTGGGTAAATGAACATTTACTTGATTTAGTAGATACGTGACAGAATGATGTCGGGTTAGGGCAGAACCAAGGGAGTGACAAAGAATCTGGAAGGGGAAAGTATTTAAAAATCCTAAATGAACTGTTGAACCATTGGACTGTCTTTTAAACTGTCAAAGTATAGTGTGTGTATATATAAATGGTAATTTTTATATGCTTTAAAAAAAAAGTTAGCTTTGTGAGAATATATTGTTTGGTAAATGACTTTACTATGTAATGGAAACACATTGTATCTTGTTATCGAGTAATACAGTAAGGCAGGTCAGCTTTTTTTCCCTCTGCAAATCCAGCTAGTTTAGGAGGGGCTTGGGTTTATTGATAGGATCTAGGTTATCTATCCTTTTACACTGCTTAGAGTCTTTGATGTGGGAAGTGCAATGATGAAGTCAAATGATTTTATGAGTCAGGACCAAATTGCCAGTATGGTCCCTGGCTCTTAAAAAAATAAAATAAAATGGAAGCTGTTTATTTCATGGCTTCCCTTTTATCATGTAGTAATCTTATTACAATAATTCTAGATTTCTTGAAGTTGTTTGCTACTATTTTTTAGTCAGTTATTAAAAAACCCAAAAAGTATGAGACCAATCTCCTGTCTTTACTCTTTTTTCCCTTCTCTGTTCTTTCACCACTAGCCCTCATTTGACCCGTGAACTCTTTCTTAGGCACTCTTGACCCACACATTAGCTGGGCTATTCTTTTTCTGCTAATTCCTAATTCTGTTTGAAACAAATTTGGTTGGTTTGTTTTTGGTTAATCCTCACCCAAGGATATTTTTTCATTGATTTTTTAGAGTGGAAGGGAGGGAGGGAGACAGACAGAAACATCAATATGAGATAAACACGAATTTTGGGTTATATTTTTGAGCATTTATGATGCCAGGCACTGTAATATTTAAAACCTAGTCTTTCTCCAGAGAGCAAGTAACATACACTTGTTATTCATTTAATCACCTCATTCTGTTCCCTTACACTAGGGTTAATGATATATTTTATTATATTACTTGGTAATAAAGGCTACATTTATTTTTGTAACTGTTTAAAGAGCAACTATGTGGCTGAGAACCAAATTTACGGATTTCCATAGAACACTATGACCCATCATTTGGGTCAAATATCTGAAGACCCTTGGTCCGAGAGGAATTATGTAACAAAGATTGGGCAGTTTACTCAGGATTTCATGAAGTGAACCAGAGAATAAAATAGTTTATGACTCTGCTGTATCTTAAGGTGCCCTCAGTCTCTTAACTTGACCCTTTGGCGGGAGGAGGCCGGGCAGCAGGTGGGTGGGTGGGGAACCCATTCATAAATCCCTGGGCTCCCGGCCGGCTCTTCTCATTGGCCCTGGGCAGGGGGGCGTGCCCCGTGGGTGGAGCACCTCCCTAGGCCCGGGGGAGTGGGAAGATCCACGCTTGGGTGGGGCGAGGGGGCGTTCCTTGGTTTTCCCTGCAGGACTTCCTTTTCCCTTTGCTGTGTTCCTCCTGTCTCCCCCAGGGTGGGGATGGTACGACCCACCCTCCTCGCTTTCCCGCCCCTTCTCCCCTCCCGAGCGGTGTGGCGCCGCCGCCATCTTGGCACGTCAGGTTGCGGAAAGAGCCAAACCCTGGCTTTGGGTGTCCGGAGAGGAAGCCCCTCCCTCGGTAGACAGCGAGACCCTCCCCGCCAGCCCTTCTCCCTTCCTCGCTCCAGCGCGGGGCTTTGAGGCGCGCGGAGGCCGGCCGGGTTCCTGTTGGGCCCGGAGAGGAGGGGCGGGTGGGGCGGCCACAGTCTCCCCGGGACGGGCGGTACCACCCCAGGAGGGAGGAGAACCTGGAGGCAGCAGGGCGGCCGCACCGCCCGGGGGCGGGGTGCAAAGCGGCCGGCCGGCTCCCTGGGGGCGGGGCGGGGCGGGGAGGGGAGGGCGGAGCGTGGGGCGGACGGAACCACCGGGGTGGGGTGGGAGGTAACGGGACGGGCGCGACCATGGCGCGGTAAGGGAGCGGGGGTGGGGATCGGTCCTGGGGAGTCCTGGGGCCGCTGGCTTGTGCGCCTTCTCGGCCGCCCCCCCTTTCGCCGCCGCCGCCGCCGCCGCCCCGGGCATGTCGTCCAACTGCACCAGCACCACGGCGGTGGCGGTGGCGCCGCTGAGCGCCAGCAAGACCAAGACCAAGAAGAAGCATTTTGTGTGCCAGAAAGTGAAGCTATTCCGGGCCAGCGAGCCGATCCTCAGCGTCCTGATGTGGGGGGTGAACCACACGGTAACCAGCTCCTCCGCGCGCTCCCACGCCCCCTGCCGCCCCCGGCCTTCGCCCCGCGGGCCCTGCCAGTGACGCCTACAACCCCTTGCCAAACCACTTGCACGCCCACCCCACCCTTGCACGCCGTCCCGGCCGGGTGTGCACTCCCCGCGCGCCACGCGAGGCCTGGTGTCTCCGTGGTATGCCGTCGCCGCCTCCCCTCCCCTCCAGCCCCTTTGGCTTCCTGCGTCTGGTATGCTCGCATGGGGCTGCCTCTGGAGCGCTGAGGGAAGGCCTGGGTGCGGTGGAATCGCCCTCATCCCCTCTCCCTGTCTTCTCACCTCACCCTGTTTGTTGCATGTATTTTCCCCCTTGTTCCTTATAACCCGCTGCCAGCTCACTGCCCAGTTGACAGGGCAAGTAGCATTGGCCTGCTTGACTGTCCCTCTATTTCTGGTCGTTTGGTTGGCGTGGCTGCTCAAAGTTTCCCATCTTCCAGACCTCCTTACCCCTGACTATGGAAAATCCTTCCTGGGTTTCCTTTTTTTTTTACTTGAACAAGATATATCAACTGGAGAAGCACAGGCTTTCTTGATCTACAGACACTTGATCAGGGTCTTCCTGGGTTAGGGAGAAGAATGTAACCATTTGAGAGAAGGTGAGGCCTGATGATAAGGACTATTCATAGTAGAAATACTATCTTCCTTCATTTTCCTATAGTGTTCATGTCAGACTTTGACTTCTCGTTATTTAGTTTTCTATTGAATAGTCATGAAGGGTGTGGTAATGAATGGTGGTTAGGATGAGAGAGGTCCCCTGCATCTTGGGCATGCTTTGAAATTGTCCAACAGTGCCTGTCAGGAAGTTGGAACCCAGCCCAATGCTTGAGCTGATATGTCCATTTGTTTGGGGTCTTTCTTTCTCTTCCAACCACTTACTTGCCCCTTGCATCTGACCGTTTCATTGTGAGTCCCTATGTCAGGAATGAACAGAAGTAAAAGGACCTGAAACAACCAACTTCACTAAGTAAAAGTTTGGAATGGGGAAGGTGAAGCTAATGGCTTGGATTTCCTGTGGATTTCAGTTCTTTGGTCCCCATGACTTTTCTGAGCACTTGAAATTGCTCATAAAACCAAATGATGACGGAGTGCCCCAGGGCCAGCAAGAATTTGCTTTGCTTTGGTAGAGGAGCCTTTGATTAGAGATTGATAAACATAGTCTGAGCCAAGATTTTATATCTTTACATCTAATACAGAAAAGCACTTGTGTATGGTGAGGTTTTTGTTGGTTTCTTGGTCTTGGGCAGGTTACTGTTTTCAGTACTGAGGTGAAGGTCCTGGCCAGGGTAGGGAGTACCACTGGTTTAATGCCCAGACCTCTGGGAGCTGCTTCTGGTCAATAGTCCAGCAGAGTTGGTTCCTCCTGCTTTGTGCTGCCTCAGGGGTTATTTGACAACACTGCAAGGGAAACTGGGTCATCAAAATGTGAACCCTGTGTCTCTGCCTAGAAGTCAGTACTTGATTTTGTTCTGCTGCCTGCTTTCACTAGAAAGCATCCTGTCTGTGCAGAGAACTGGTAGAGATCCAAGAGTCAGAAATATAATAGCTAGCCAGAAGGGACCTTGGGTCCCTTATTCTATACATGAAGAAATGGAGGCCCCAGGTGGAGGATTAGCTCACCTATGGTCACACCAAAAGATACAGCTCCTTGTCCAGCACTGTGGGCTGTGCTGGCCAATGGTGGTGCTTGAGGGGCAGGTCTCACTTTCTTTGCCAGGACAGTTGGGAATTATAGTCTTGTTAGAGAACCTGAATGTATGCTCAAGTTTATGTGCCTGTGCAGGCCGATCCATGGGAGTGTGTGTTGTGTGGTGCTTGGTTTTCTGATAGGCATGTAATCAGTCTGCTCAAATGGGGGCATCAGGTGGAAGCCTCTGAATGGTATCTATGATTCCTACTCTGTTGAACTTAGCAGTCACCCTCTTTCTTTGCTAACTTTAAGAAAGTTTGTTTGAGGGCTAGCTGGAAAGGCATCGACTGCAGGGCTAGCTGGAAAGGCATCGACTGCAGGGCTAGCTGGAAAGGCATCGACTGCAGGGCTAGCTGGAAGGGTATTGATTGCAGGGCTAGCTGGAAAGGCTTTGACTGCAGGGCTAGCTGGAAGGGCACCGACTGCAGGGCTGGCTGGAAGGGCACCGACTGCAGGGCTGGCTGGAAGGGCACCGACTGCAGGGCTGGCTGGAAGGACACCGACTGCAGGGCTGGCTGGAAGGGCATTGACTGTAGGGCTGGTTGGAAGGGCATTGACTGTAAGCAAGAACCATACCTCTGGGAACAGTGAGCAAGCACCTGAGGGTAAATGCTGTAGGCACCACTGTCCTGGACAGGCTGAGCTTCAGAGATCTGTTAGTCACAAGTTTTGTTGCTTCAACTCAGCCTGCAATAAGTCTAGTACTTAAAGGTCTCCCTTTGGGAAATGGAGGCCTCTCCCCAGAAGAGTATAAAATCTTGCAATTCTGCCCTGGCCTGTTTGGCTCAGTGGTTAGAGCGTCAGCCCGCAGACTGAGGAGTCCCAGGTTCGGTTCCTGCTTAGGGCAGGTACCTTGGTTGCAGTTTGTTCCTGCCCAGGTTGGGGTTGTACGGGTGGCAGCCAGTCGATGTGTCTCTCTCACATCGATGTTTCTCTCTCTTCCTCCTTCTCTCCCTCCTGCTCTGTCTGAAGATAAATGCAAAAATATATCCTCAGGTGAGGATAAAAAATAATAATAATAATAATCCTGGCTGGTTTGTCTCAGCGGTTAGAGTGTCGGCCTGCGGACCAGAGTCCCGGGTGTGGTTCCCGCTAAGGGCACGTACCTCGGTTGCAGTTTGTCCCTGGCCCCTGTTAGGATCCTGTGGGTGGCAACCAGTCAATGTGTTTTTCTCACATCGATGTTTCTCTCTCTTCCTCCCTCTCTCCCTCCCGCTCTATCTGGAAAAATAATAATATTGATAATAAAATAAAATAAAATCTTGCAATTCTATAGGATGTCAGGCCACATTGTTCTTAGTGAATTGCTAGACTTTCTTGGAGATTACCTTGCTTCAGAAGCCCACTGTTGCCACCTTTTGCAGTCCAAGGTTTCAGATATCACCTTTTCTTTGATTCTTTAGTTTCTCACCCATTTAGGCAATGATGGTCTGTGGCTGATGATGTATGAGATATGAAGGATGGATATGTCTTTATATATAGCAAAGTTAGTTACGCTCTCATGAAGTAGTTGATTTACTTCTAGGTGGGAAAAAAGAGGCCTCTGAGTTCAGTATTGTCACACAAGCTGCTCTCACGAACAAGCATGCAGCCCATGCATGGACTTGGTGGAGGAAGACTGTGTAGGAAACAGGGAGGAAAATCAGAAGACTTTGGATCTGTCAGGGGAGAACTAATAAAGAGAAAAAAACCCAGTGTTTTGATGGATGAAATATAGTTCAAAGGGTCTGGAGTTAGGGAAGAGATAGCTTTCAAGAGGGGCGTGGAGACCAGAAGAGAGACCTGGCTTGATAACCTGTTGGCCATTTTAGGAACCAGGTATGTGTGGAGACCCAGGTGATCAGAAGGAAGAGGAGCAGTTGATGGTAACTATGTATAATCATTTGGGAAGCTGCCAGCCTTGTTCTTCAAAGTGACTGCACCATTTTACATTTCCACCAGCATGTGTAAAGGGGTTCAGTTTCTCTACATCCTTGCCAACATTGTTATTGTCTTTTTTTTTTTTTTTTTATCCTCACCCGAGGACATTTTTCCATTTTTTGTTCAGATAGAGCAGGAGGGAGAGAGAGGAAGAGAGAGAGAGAGAAACATCGATGCGAAGGGACACATCGAGTGGCTGCCACCCGCACGACCAACCAGGGCCGGGGACAAACTGCAACCGAGGTACATGCCCTTAGTGGAAACCGAACCCGGGTCTCTCTGTACCGCAGGCCAGTTATTGTCTTTTTTTTTTATTATAGCCATTTATATAGCCACATATTATATCTTATTGTGATTTCAATTTGTTTTCTTTGTAACTAGTGAAGTTGAACATCTTTTCATGTGCTTATTGGCCATATTTATATTTTCATTGGAGAAATGTCTATTAAGATCCTTTGCAAAAAGAAAGAAAGACCCTTTGTCCATTTTTAAAAAACTTTTTGCATCTTCTTTTTTTTAATCCTCACCTGTGGATATTTTTTCCCATTGATTTTAGAGAGAGTGGAAAAGAGGGAGAGAGAGAGTGGACGGGAAAGAGAGAAACATCAATTGGTTGCCTCCCACACACATGGATCCTGACCGGGCACCCTGACCTGGCCAGGGATCGAACCTGGGACCCTTCAGTGCATAGGACAATGCTCTAAAGCTGAGCCACACCAGCCAGACTGCATCTTTTAATTGAATTATTTGTCTTTTTGAGTTGTAATAGTACTTTATATATTCTGGAGATAAGTTTCTTATCAGATACATGATTTGCAAATATTTTATCCCATTCTTTGGGTTATCTTTTTTACTTTTTTGATGTTTTCTTTTAAAGCTCAAGTTTTTAATTTAGATAAAGTCTAACTTATCTATTTTCTTTGGTTGTGCTTTTGGTGTAATATCTAAGAAGGTTTTACCTAACCCAAGGTCATGAAGATTTTTTCCTTCATTTTTTTCTAAGAAAAACTCTTAAAAAAACAAAAGTCATAGTTTTAGCTCTTACATTTAGGTTTGTAATCCATTTTGAGTTAATTTTTGTATATGGTTTAAGAAACAGATTCATTCTTTTTTTTTTTTGAAACAGATTCATTCTTAAGTCCGCTCATTTTTCTTGCACATTTCACCCCCATTCTGTCCATGCATTTTCTTTGCTTAATGCAGACCCAGAACCTCCTTTACCCGCCTTTTTCTCTGCTTCTTTAAAAATCTTTAGTAAATATTTCTGCTCTAGTGAGGCCTTTGGGTGAATTTGTCTTTTAGTAGGCCTTCCCACCTCATAGAGAACAGTGGGACTCAATGGGAGAAGAAAA